GTTGTGAAAATTCGAAATATTTGGAATTATTCAAATTTCGAGGCTGAAAACGTACATCGGTTTTGTATTTTTGAAACCGAGAGAGTTGCACGAAACTAAATTTGTACAGGTCACAGCTAATACGATGCGAAACATCGCCTTAATGTTAAAAATGTTGTCAGTGCCGTTCTTGGTTGTGAAAATTCGAAATATTTGGAATTATTCAAATTTCGAGGCTGAAAACGTACATCGGTTTTGTATTTTTGAAACCGAGAGAGTTGCACGAAACTAAATTTGTACAGGTCACAGCTAATACGATGCGAAACATCGCCTTAATGTTAAAAATGTTGTCAGTGCCGTTCTTGGTTGTGAAAATTCGAAATATTTGGAATTATTCAAATTTCGAGGCTGAAAACGTACATCGGTTTTGTATTTTTGAAACCGAGAGAGTTGCACGAAACTAAATTTGTACAGGTCACAGCTAATACGATGCGAAACATCGCCTTAATGTTAAAAATGTTGTCAGTGCCGTTCTTGGTTGTGAAAATTCGAAATATTTGGAATTATTCAAATTTCGAGGCTGAAAACGTACATCGGTTTTGTATTTTTGAAACCGAGAGAGTTGCACGAAACTAAATTTGTACAGGACATATCTAATACGGTGCGAAACATGTCTTAATATTAAAAATGTTGTCACCGCCATTCTTGGTGGCGAAAATTCGAAATATTTGGAATTATCCATATTCGTGGCTGAAAACATACATAACTGTCACCTATACAATAGGTGGGGGAATTTGAGCGATAAATTGACATTCAAATATTTAAGAAAGATTTAACAGCGTATACAAGCACTTTTAACGGATAATTTTCCACTGTGTCGATAGACGCAAGAAATAATTGGGTACAATCTTCGATTTTGTGCATAAATACGCTTTATCGATGAAGCTAACTTTTCTAGGGATGCCATAATAAATTTTCATAACAATCACATACGGATTTATGAATGTCCACATACGATGTCAGATAATTGCTGTCGACGTTAGTTCTTCTTTAGTGTGTTTTTTTCCGGTTAGGTCGACTAGAGAAGTTTATCGCAGATTTCTTGAAAAGATTTTGACAATATTGCTTGAAGAAGTACGATAGTGTTCTAATCCATTGCAGTTGCATATCCAAATTGTTGGACAGATAGAGGGGCTTCAACCTTGGCTTTCACAGTCTCCAGATTTGTCTTTCTCTCTCTCTCTCTCTCTCTCGATTTCTTTCTATGGAATCATCTTAAATAAATTGGTTTATGTGACCCCAATTGAAAGTTTGGCGGAGTTACGGTTGCGCATATTTTGAGATAATTCGACTGACTTTACGCATTTTGAACATGTGTCGCAAGATAGAAACTTGAATGATAATGAACTTGAGCATCACCATTTCTAACAGTTTTGAAATATATTTGGTATTTTTCGAGTTTCTAAATTTACGAATTACATTTTCGACGACTGTACTCAAAAAACTGTTCAGAATCGCAATTTTCAACTCCTTTCGAGGTGTAACTCTGATAGCAGACGATTTTGGAAATAAATTTATAAGAAGAACCCCTCTAAAACATAAGTAAAGTTTTTGCATGTTGCAGTTTTATATTAGAGCAGGACTTGACTCAATAATATTTACTTTTCTTTTTTTATTTTTGATTTTTTCTGATATGATGTGTTCGAATTCTAATTCTATAATTCGCGGAATGCAAGAAAATAATCAAATGAAAATGGTAGCGAATATTCAAGATTTTCAAGTTAAAATAGTCAATTATAAATGTTGGATGCTCCCTAATAGCAACTTTTGCAACTAATACCTTGTAGACGTGATCTTCAAACCATTTAATTACAATGTAATGATTTTAACACGACATTAAACCTCTAGCATGCATATTATTGTTTTCGAACGGTATTGAAGTTCTGAGTTAAAATTTTAGAAAATTGTTAATAAATTACTTTATATTAAGCATATAAATTAACGTACCTGTTTGTTGTATTAAAATTCTTGTTCGACTAATAGGATTTATTATACTAATAAAAAGTTTTTTAGAAGAAAGTTACACAAGTCACGAACTGAAAGATAAATTGCATACCAACTAAGTATTAAATGTTAAAATAAAATGGACTTTTTTGTTCCACTTTAAAAAATACATTAGAAATGACACTTCCAGTCACTAATTATTATGCTACTGTTTTTATGTAAATAATGACCGAATATTTGTAAAAGCTGTTAATGCAAATTAGGGAATTGTTTTCCTGTAGCGATGTTGCACAGCTTTTGACACTTTTTTTATTATAACGAGATTGGTTTTTAGTTTAAATAGATCCAGTACAAATTATGTATAACTTTAATCATTCAATCCTATCAAATTTGAGTACCCGTTAAGTCCAATAGTTTGTTTTTTCATTATTTGCCTGTTAATGCATATTTTGTCTATAATCTTTGGCATTATACTTTTATGAAAAACTATTACTCCTACTTATGCAGACGGCAAAATCATACAAGTATGGTTGATAACTGTGATTTATTAGCAACACTAGTAGACGTGCTTAGGAAAACAGATTTTACTATTGTGTGTACATTATTGAGTAAAACCGAGTGAAATCTTTTTACAGTGTAGGAAATGTAGTATTTTAGAGATAATATTAATAGTACGTGCACTGCCTAAATTATAACTGTCATATCCGAAATTTATAAGATATATGAAATTTTGACAAGAAGGAAACAATCTCTAGAAAATAAAAGCTTAACGAAAGGTCGATTAGTTAGTTATTAGTGTACATGCGAATTATAAGGTGGTGCAAGACGTAGGACCTCAAAAAAATAACGCGATGTATGTTTGCGTAGATACTTCAGTCATATAAACCAAAAAGGGGAATCAAATAATAATTCTTTAGCTAAAACAGTATTAGAATGAAATCTATAAAATTTAAAGGTACCTAATGCAATTCGTAATTTGGCTGATTTTTTGATATCTAGTTGTTGAAACATAATTTTTATTATTGCTGAAGGAAAAGCTAAGTTTCACGAGTTAAAAGTAGCAAATAAGAAACAATGCATACAAAAAATATATTTATTCAACAGATGAAACTATTATATTAGGACTAGTTTCTATGAGATATATGGCATATACATTGATGAACGAAATGACATTTCAATAACAGACTTGTACTTAGAATCACCAACCATGTCCGTATCCTCCGTAGGAACCACCATAGGAACCTCCGTACGAACTTCCATAACCACCTCCATAACCACCTCCATAACCACCTCCATAACCGCCACCTATGGACCCTAAGCCTATTCCCCCACTCAAACCAAGACCTCCTCCTAAGCCAATGCCGGCGCCTATTCCTACGCTATGGCCTACTGACACAGGGACTGGAACGGGCTTCTTGACGATCACTGGCGTTGATACAGGCACAGGTACTGGATGGTGTACAGGTACTGGATAAGGTTGTGGAACGGCCACTTTGTATGGAACAGGAACTGGAACTCTGACGGGAACTTGAACTGGTACTGGTACTGGTTTCTCTACAGGTACGGGCACAGGCCTGTCTACGCGGACTGGGTATGGCCTTGGAACGTGAACAGGATAGGGACGATCTACTGGAACTGGCACAGAGTGGGGCACAGGGACTGGAACGGCTCTTTCCACTGGATAGGGCTGAGGAACAGGAACTGGAACACCAACTCGTTTTGTGACGGTGACGTGGCGAGAGACTGTTTGGCCAAGGTTTATAGCTGCTCCGCCTACTCCAATGCCTACACCAACGCCAATTCCTCCGCCTCCAAGTGCTACTCCTCCTCCATATCCGCCTCCATAGCCTCCTCCGAATCCTCCTCCATATCCATATCCACCTCCATAACCACCGCCATAACCGCCGCCATAACCGCCGCCATAACCACCTTCTAGGCCTACACTACTGACACCGGATCCGATTCCAATTCCTGATCCAATTCCAATTCCTGATCCAATTCCAAGTCCAGATCCGATTGAAACGCCATGACCTATTGAACCGGATCCTAGACCTACGGCCCCAGCACCAATGCCGAGGGATTCACCAAAGACACCACGTTTCGTGATCTTCTTTTCCTCGGCAAAGGCGGCGGACACGCTCAATAGTACTAGGATCACCTGAAAATTAAAAATAAATTTAAAACAAAATTATTACCTAATCGATAATAATGATGGATTTCGAAAAAATTCGATCAGGTCTGTATAGTTTTTATACAATTAATACTTCATTAAAGAGCAGTTTTCTACCAACGGTCACAGGAACGACTAAAATAATATATATTTGTAAGTTTCTTACAATTTCGAATTACAAGCGACTTAGAATTGGAGGCTATAGTTTTATTTATTTTTTTCAGATTCAGAGTAAATACTCCAAACTTTTTACTTTATTTTACCTTTTTGTTCCTATTGCATTAAATGAACGTTTTTCTCTAGTATAAAATATATCATATCATATCTAGATATATTACTGTGAATACAATACTTTAACACCATGCTGACGTAACGTCAATGATTGATTCCAATAATAATAGCTATGTTTACTATTACCTAACTGTAAAATTCCTAAATCATGTATGCATATTAAAAATAATAATGGTCCTAAATTGAACCCTCGTGGAACACATTACAGGGTAAGTAATTTAATTTCATTAATTAATTAAAGAAAATAATAAAGTCAGATAAATATTTAAGAAATAACAATACATTTTGGGAAAAGCCGATTGATCAATTTAATCAAATGCCTTTGAAATCATAATAAATATCGATTTGTTTCTGACAGTATATGAATTTCCGGAAATAATGCGTTGTATACATGCCTCATATATTTCTTTCATCCTCGACGATTTTATCAGTTATACAAAATTGTTTCGACAAAAATTGTCACAGAACTGAGGTGTATGGTCGAAAACCGATGTGCTTGGTCGCCGATTTTCGCACGTACATCTGTTTTGTAACAGTTTTACTCGAAATAATTTTACTCGACTGCTAAAACCGTCAAGGTGAACGTAGTGTATCATTCTCTAAATTTGCTGTTAAATTATATTGTTATAAAACAACAATGTTACTTTTGTAAATATCTATCTTACAAAATATAAAAAAAAATAAAAATTATGAAATAAACCCTGTCCAGCACATATAAGTTTTATATGATTTTTTTTTTCATATTGGCAAAATACCCACAAATTTGTTCAAAATTACAGTTATACTGACATAATAATTATATCCTTATACTTAACTTTTCTATATTCTCTATCTTTACAAACCTATTCACCTACAGTTTGATATTTCTAGAGCTAATGCTACTATTCTCCATTTTTAAAATTTAATATTTCTCGAATTAATATGCGTTTTAATTCATCTTTATAATCGTAGATAATAAAATGAAATAGGTACATATGTTTGCTTATATATTATTAAATTATACCTATTGTGGTAATTACTTATATAAAGTTCTTGCAACGGATGAAAAATTCTGTATCACATTGTATTTCTCTCTATTTGCTTATAATTTTGTTTACATATCCTAATTTTTGTTTGTATGCTATGATATTTATATCTGTAGGATTTTAATAAATATTATTAAAAGTAAATAACATATAATAATGATTCACAAATGAGAGATACGGAAGCTAATTTTATAAAATTAGATTTTGTTCAAAAAAGTTAAAAAAATATTTATAAGTTGATTTCAAAATGCTTTAATTCTTATCTGAAATATTTATAGCTATTTGATATGTTGCATAATACTGAATAAACTATATTTATGAATATTAACTTTATCTTAAACACCGCTTATAACTAGCTGCTAATCAGAACTGGAAAATAAAATATTTCTATTTTATGACATTTTCACTTTCTTCCAATGTTGCACGAAATGACGATAACAAAATTCACTTGTTTGAATTAACAAAAAACTGAAAGGTGATAAACTTACGGTTGTCTTCATGATGCTACACAAAGAAACAGTTAGCAGAGGACTGATACGGTTTTTGGTGGACCCTACACTATTTATAATAAAAGTTGTGATAATACTGGAATTTAGAGGGGCGGATGCTCTGTCACAAAACGGGTTGCCTTTCATCCGATATGCTACCGAAAGATGGACTACTTTCTTGGTTACATAACATACGGTCACCAGAATATGAAAAGCTAAATGCGAGTTATTCCGCGAATTTCTGCGAAGGTGGAGGTTAATAATGTCTTGAGGAAATACCGACACACTTCGGTGATAGCCGCTAGGATTAAAGTATTTTGATTATTGAATTGTTCTTCGTCTTATTGTTGCAGATAAGTTGATAGGACTTAACAAGAAGTAAAATAGTAGGACTTTTATTAATACAATATAATTTTATACAAGACAAATCTTCTTTCTTTCTTATATAAATCTAAAAAGTAATTAACTCCATATCCAGTTTTTCACTAAAAATAAATTGAAATTATAAAGGTCTTAAGAAATTAAATAATTTCTGATTTATTTAAGTTAATATCTTAGTTCTAACCTAATAGTCTATTCTTTAATAACAATGTTTAAATACGACTATGTACATTATTTGGTCATTTTTAAGTTTTTCTAGTTTATATAAAAGGTACCTAATTATGCAAACGTATTACAATAGATCATTTTTTGGATTATACTGAGAAATAAAGGTTCAATAAAGGTGTAGAGATACGACTTAATTTTCTAAAAACAAGGTTTAATATTGACGCAAATATTTCAGAAGAAAATTTTGGCTAGTGATTTAATTAATTAAAAGCAAATATTTACTGAAGCTGTAGATAGTTTGGTCAACGGGTGGCAGATATACTAGGAGATACTGCTGCCGGGAACATAATAATATTAAAAGCACTGAGTATTTTGGAAGTTCATTCATGCATTTCTGAGAAGATTTCCATTTTATTGGAAAAACTTAATTTCTGAGTTATCAATAATTTAAGTTTAAAATAAGAATATAATATTGTTAAATATACTAACAATACTTACTATAAAACTATTTATTTTATCGAAAAAATATTGTTAATAAAAACTAAAAAAAAGTAATTTGTGTGAAAATTTTTCATTTTATAAGGGTTCTAAAAAAATCATTATCCTAACATTAATGTTAATTTTATATTATCACATTTTATTAAAAATCGTTTTTCTAACAAAAACACTATATGCGTTTTTTTCTGTGAAACGGGTAGTTTTAGAGTTACTGTCAATTTATTAAAAGAATTACCTCGTTTTCTGAAGAAAATAAAATGAAAAATTATTTATCTCAAATACAGGGTGTAAGAAATTTGACTGCCATTACTTCAGCATGAGATAAAGTAATCACAAATGAACAAAAAAGTTGTAGGTATATTACAAGGGCGTAAGATTAACAGTTGTCAAATACAGCCAGTATTAATATTGGGGAGTTTCATCACAACGTGACAGCAGCGCTTAACCTGCACACCACGTGCACACGCGGCATACTTGTCCTACGGAAAAAATGTAAACAGCTATTATTGTGAAACATTTACGAATACGAAGATAGTGTTGTGCTTAAATTTTAGCTCAATTTTAGTAATTATGAATCTCTTAAAACAGGAACTTAATTTTTAACCAAATTACGTATTTGAAAAATATGTAATTAAAATACCCAAAGATTCACGTCGTTCAAAATAATCATATGAATTAAAAATAATTTAGGTACTTATCAAAAAGTAAAATTCAGTAATTTTTAAACGCACAAGTACAAAATAAACTACAAGTTATGCTCAATATAGGAGGAAATAGTGGTACGCAAGAAACACTCCGACACGGTCGAATCCAGATATCAACTGAATTGCGCATTGGTGGTTGCTGGACACCTTAGTATCTCGTGTATAATAAACCGCCGCGCCGTTGTCACATTGCTCGATGTGAATTTTATCGAATTTTAAATTTATTATAGGTACCGCTAATTATTTTATGGTATTCTATGCACGCAGTTATGTCAATATTCCTTAATTAATTGAACTTTTGCACATCAAGCTGGAGATTTTGATTATTTTTTTCTCGGAAATGGTTGAGTTTGGGACGCTTGTCACATAAAGTTTTTTTTTGTTTATTTTAATGTATTTTATCATCTGTTAAAATTAAGGCAGTCAAGCTTCTAACACCCAGCATACAAATCAAACGCTCTGATTTAATTTAAAAGATATCAAGCATTCACAAAATATTGAAATTTTTAATGATTGTGTGTCTCAGTATTTCCGTCACTGGTTGATATAAAAAAAAATCAAATATATTTTTACTTTTAATTAGTTAAGTCTAAATTACTATAATTCCTATAACAGTTGTATTAATGTGACTGTTTACTGTGTTTTTTATACTAATAAAAAAATATATGTTGAGATTAATAAGAAAATAACTGATCAGACTAATCAAAATAAAAAATAAACCCAGGAAAAACCTTGACGAATTATGTATATTCTAAGAATATCCTATAGGTACATTAAAAATTAATTTCAACAGATGTACTCCCTACGGTTTTGAAGCACCGCCTTTTTTAAGAAACTGTTACATAAAGAGAGAAGAGTTACACTTACAATAAAGATTTTGAAAACATAAAGGTATCGATGAAAGTTATGTTCTCGCATATCGTGTATAATTACGCCATTGTGATGTAACATTTTCAAGAAACATGTTTTGTAAAGCAATTTTGTCGTTATCTTAGTTACAAAGAAAGCTATTATTTCGTTTAAATTATGTTAAATAGCCAAAAGTTTATTTAAATTAACACGTTTATTCTGAAACAATTTAAATGTCCTTAAATATTTAGTAACTTATACAAAAAGCTAAATAATAATAATATTGACACATTGACCTCTGAGATATAAAATATGACAACAGAGTCACCATACAAATTTTAATAAGATTGCTTATTTCACGTGAAGTTACTGCTACTGTTTTTATTTAATTGGGTATTTCCGTCACAGTGAAAAGATTTTTTTTAAATAAATAACTTCTTGCGTCAAAAAGTTTTCATTTTGTTATGCCTAGCAAGATATATCTCACTCTGAAGAAAAAAATAATTTTTCTTTCTGTTTTCGTTAGCTAATTCCAATTGATTTTAAGTTAAATGTGACAATTTTGTTTATTTTTTTTTCTTGGAGATATTAGATACTATGTAATGTCCATTAACTATCAAAACTTAAGGGATCATTTGAAACACGTGTATCACTGTTTAGCAAAATAAACGTCGACTCTTTAATATTTTGTTTTACCATGTTATTTTTATCTCTCAAAATTTATAAACCTCGTCACATTGCTCGATATGAATTTTATCGAATTTTAAATTTATTACAACGCTAATTATTTTTTAGAATTAAGCATAAGGTTCAAAAAAAGTGATAAACATTGTATTTTATGGTATTCTATGCACGTGGTTATGTCAATATTCCATAATTAATCGAACTTTTTTACATCAAATTGGAGATTTTGATAATTTTTTCCATTTGTTGTTGTTGTTTATTTTATATTGTTATTGTTATGTTGTTTATTTACTTATTTATTTTAATGTATTATATCGTCTGTTAAAATTAAGGCAATCAAACTTCTAACACCCTGCATTAGCAGTTCAAGAGTTAAAAATTAGTTATACAAATAAAAAAGTTGTAGACTTGTTGAAAGTGACAACGATACAAAACATATATTAAATACTGAATGAACAAAGATATAAAAATATTGAGATTTATTATTATGTATTAGTTTATGTCCTGCAGAAATTATTTCACATTAGTGTAAAACCAAAATTAACAGGTCAGTAGGTCACACATTCACTTAATTCCGTAAAAAAGGCTTTTATGCTATTAAGTTAACTTTCAAACGAAAATGAGCTACCAAACCCAAACTGAAAATAAATAAAAGTGTAAAATATCTAGTCCCGAAATATTTTAAATAATTTTCCATATTTAATTCGTGCCATAAAATGACTACACTATCTAAACACTATTTTGACAATTTGATTCGTAATTCTTCGTAAATCGTAAAAAAGTTAAACGCTAAATAAAATATTTTCGAATCTACGTAAACTAGCAGACAGAATATTCGAATATATGACAAAAACTTTTATACTCTTACAATAAAAAACAATATAAAGAATTTATCAAACTTCAAAATTATTAAAAACTTCTTTATGAGATGCTTAACTTTTGACCATTGCTATATAGGTAGTATTTATTATGTAACATATAGGACAGAAAACTTTTTTCAGTTTAAAATCAAAACAGCTCTTTATGATTTGCAATAATGATCTCTTAAAAATATCTTTGATGTTCAATAGAACCTTAACAAAGCTTTTGAGTAGGGACGAGTAATAAATATTTAGATATTACTTTTCGATAGTATATTTCTCTTCCAGGAGCTTGTGGCAACATTTTGCATAAGTTGTTTAACGGTATATACAGGGTAATAGTTTTTAAATCCAATATTTTAACTGTGTTCTGTGTTATCATTTAAAATCTGTTTTTTCAATGAGTAAAATAGAACATATAAAACCGCACATTTACATGTCAAAAACTTTCTAATAATACGATATACCTAGACGTTTCTAATTTGAATTTGATGTCAACTGATAGTAATAAAAATGCAAAGCAAAATTTAAATTACCAACCGTTAAATTTAAAAAAGTATATTTATATTCCCTCATCATTCAGTATTCGCATTCATATATGCATATCTAGTAGATGTATGAGTAATAATACAGTAATATAGTGCCCAATATTTGGCAGTAGACGTAACTGGGCCAATAAAATGGATAGCAAGACACTCACTTCTCAGTAATGAGCGAAATCAAAGAATACAACCTGGAAATACAGGGTGTAACAGCGATGTTATGGCTAAGTTTCAGAAATAAATTTGTAACACTTTTTCCTAAAATAATCCAAAAAATCTCTAGATTCTAGGTTCTCAACACCGGTCGAAGGTAAAAGCTTTCACAC